ACTTGCCTGCTAACCAGACGGCTGGCGGTTCAAACCCACCAGCCACTCCTCGGAAGGAAGGTTGGGCAATCCTACTTCTGTAGTGATACTGCCTCGGTAACCCAAGGAGGGGTCGCTATGAGTCGGGGCCGACTCGACGGCAAATAACAACAACAACAACATAGATGTTCTATACTTCATTTTTACCTTTACCAATGTATTTTAGTAATCATTCCATATTCACTTATATATGTATTTCATCTTTTAAAGTCTTCACCACATGCTTCTGTATTGTTATACACTAAATTGTTAACTAGTTTTCTAATGGGTAGCCATTTAGGTTGTTCCTATTATTTTCCTATTTGCCTGACTCTCAAATAATGTTGCAAAGATCATGCTTGGATATGTATCTTTGAGGATCTATGACTATTTCTGTAGAATGAATTCCTGGACATGGAAATTTGGGGTCAAATGTCAACACATTTTAAATATTGGTACATACTACCAAATTGTTCCTCAAAAAGGTTGCACCAATTTACACTCCTATCAACACTGTATGAGAATATGAATTTTTTGACATCTTCACCAATACCATATGCTACCAAACATCTTAGTTTTGTCAATCGGATAGTTGAAATTGAAAATCTCATTTTAATTTATATATTTTTAAATATAATACACTTACAGGTGTTTATATATATATATATCCCTGTGAACTGCCTGTTTATGTCTTTTAACGATTTTTTTGTTGTTGCTATTAGTTATTAGGGAGCTCTGGTGGTATAGTGCCTAAGGCATTTGACTGCTAACTAGAAGGCTGGCGGTTCAAACCCACCAGCCACTCGGGGAAGGAAGACTGGGCAATCTACTTCCATAGTAACACTGCCCTGGAAACCCAAGGAGGGGTAGTTATGAGTTGGATTCAAGTCAACAGCAGGAAGTTTGGCTTGGTTTGGTAAGTTATCAGGAAGTTCTTCACATATTAGGAAATTTGCCCTTTGTAATATGTGTATGTGTTTTGTTTACATCATTTTTCCATGAAAAAATTTTATATTTTAATATGGTCAAATTTATAAGTCAGCTTACCATAAAGATTTTTGTTATCAATGTAAATCAAAATCCAGACTTTCAAAGAAACTTAAAATATTAACTGTTTTCAGTCCAGAAAAGCAGACTACCAAAAATAAAAACCTGCAACAACAACAAATACCTAGGCATTTTTCATGTGTTATTTTTCTCACAATAACCCTTTGAAGCAGGTTACTATTATAATCTTAATTTTATAGCTGAAGAGGCTAAGGCACAGTACAGTTAACTACTTGATCAGTCACAGAGCAAGTCAGTCACAGAAGCAGGATTCAAATCAAGGTAGCCTGACTCTCAAGGCTATAGTAGTCTAAGCATTTTTTATAGATGTCTCATAAAAATTTGCTATGAGTCAGGTCTGACTCGATGGCACATAACAACAACAACAACAACAACATAAAATACCGGTTGACTTTTATAAAACAAATAATATAATTAAAATCATAAAACAGCCTAACCCAAACTATGTAATCATGCATTCTTTCAAAGGCTTCTCATTAAAACTCTTTCAAAGGCTTCTCATTAAAACTCTTTCAAAGGCTTCTCATTAAAACTGACCATTAGGAGATTAATAACCTTTTCAATACTGTATTTTATTGAATACAATACCAATAAAAGATACTAAATATTGAAAGATATTCCTAAGGATTAGTGGATAAAGTAGTCCTGATTCAATATTAATTAATGATGATGTAATTTTCAAAAAGATGTAGACGCTAAAAGTAACTGATCAAGTTAAATTTTAAAAACACTATTTGGATATTAGGGTAGATATCTAATATTTAAATTTGAGATAACAAAAGTTTAAGTCTTCTGTGTGAGAAGTCTGAATAACTCTAATCAAAAGTAGCAACAGTATATACCTTTATTTTTAACGCAGAGTCACTATGAGTATGAGTCTTAGAAAGCTTCCTCATTATTTCAGCTCCAGTTACAGGTCCAGAGCCACCAGGTGGGGGCCTGTTAGCTGTTCCTTCTAGTAGCATTGTGTGTTCACTGACTGTGGCTGCAACAGTTCAAAAGGAAAAGTAAGATAGAGATTATCAAATATTTTCTTGAAACATCAACTCTAGTTTTTCTGGCAGTATAACTATAATCACATTTACATATTCCTTGGCAAATTAATTATGGAATATACTATAATATTCATTCTTCTGTCTTTTAACTCCCTCAACCCCAAACCCCTCACTCACTGTCATGAAAGGAACAAATAGCATTCATTCAATCTTTCACATATGGGTAGAAATCAAAGAGCAATCTAATTGTACAGAGACCAAAGACCAATCTGACTAAATTCAATAAAGTATAGACTTTTCACAGATTAACAGAGGGATTTGCAGATAATTTATTATAAAGGATGTTCACTCTACTATTACTTAAATGTTTGTGTGGATTTTAAAATTTTCAAAATAAATAATAAATATAATCTAGCCTATCCCTCCTAACATACCCCTTCATAAAATGTTGTTGTTGTTGTTATGTGCCTTCGAGTCAGCCCCGACTCATAGCGACCCCTCCTTGGGTTTCCGAGGCAGTTATCACTATGGAAGTAGGATTGCCCAACCTTCCTTCCGAGGAGTGGCTGGTGGGTTTGAACTGCCAGCCTTCTGGTTAGCAGTCAAGTGCCGTAGGCACTACACTACCAGAGCTCCCCCTTCATAAAATATCAAGTTTTAAAAATGAAAACTATAACAAAAAATAAGCTGGGTAAAGGATTATATGTCAATGATCTGAAAGCTCTGTATCTTAAACAAAATAATTTACTGAGGTGAAATTCACATAAAATTAACCATTTTAAAGTGAACAGTTTTTAGTATATTCACAGTGTTGAGCAACCACCTCTGTCTAGTTCCAAAACAGTTCCATCACTCCAAAATCTCCTACCCATTACACAGTTTCTCCCTATTCCTTACTCCCTCCAACCATAGACAACCAACAATCTGGGCTCAGTCTATGGATTTATTTATTTCGGTGAAAGCTCTAATTTTAATATTATTAGTACTTTTAATATTTTTCTCAAGATACTGTAAGATGAGTTTTTACTGAATATTATATATTATAATAGTAGTAAAAGTTATTCTTTGATGTATACTTTAACTTTCAAAGAGTTAAAGTACACATGTACATTTCTGAAATGTGTATCTACTGTCTGTGTTGTGGCACAGCCATATTGCTGATACATTATCCTCTGAGTGCAGGCCCCAAACACTATATAAGTTAAAGATAAAACAAACACTGAGTAAAAAGTCAGAGACCTCTTTAAAAATCTGTGGCAAAGGGAGAATGATAAGCACACAAATACAAATATAAACTTTAAAATAAGGTAATGTGTTTCACTAAGAATATTCTAGCTATACAAAGATGCTTATATGTACTAGGTAGATCAGGTAAAGAACATCTACTGTATTTTGCAAAATCAAAGTGATAAAATCATGTCAATATAAAGATTCCAGCATTATTACCATTTATTTGGACTAATAAAAAGTCATACTTCTATAATGAGGCCATGACATTTTCAAATTTGATACACAAATTATTAAAAGTACTATTTTATCAATTACATAGTACATAGTAAAATATTTATTATCAATTATTTGGGAGCTCTGGTGGCATAGTGCCTACAACATCTGAGTGCTAACCAGAGGCTGGTGGTTCAAACCCACCAAGCCACTGCTTGGAAGGAAGGTTCGGCAATCTACTTCTGTGGTGATACTACCTCGGAAACCCAAGGAGGGGTCGCATTAATTAACAAGCAGTTTATAAGTACAGAGAAAACCAAAGGGTCTTAGTATCTTTTAAAGAGGTATATTAGCATTATTAATAGAAGATGTACATATATGAACAAAAGTATACAGTAACTGTGATGAGTTAAGAAAACATCCCAATTGTGAGGCCTGAGAAAACACCCTAATGATTATGGGTGAGAAAATACACAAGACAAATTTACAAAATTACCTGCATCAAACTCAAATTCTGCTCCATCAGCACTGGTATCACTTTGCAGACCACCCCCATTGTCTAGCCCAAGTCCATCTTCATGTTCATGGTCCACAGCCATTTGAGGTTTCAAGGGCTGAGCTGGTCTATGTAAGCTAACTCCTTTAAAGGCTGGTGTCACCACAATAAACTTCATCCATTGCCTTGCCAGTGCAACTAAACCTTTCTTTAAAGTTACCAAAGCAGGAAGTCCATCACTCTGTAACAACAATAATGCAGTTAGAAGTAACTTTAAATTAGTAACAATTACTACTTAAGAGCTTTGCATGCACTTTGAACAGTCCATTTCATAATTCGTATTTTAGAGATGAGGTATCTAAAATTTAAGTGCTAAGTAATTTGTCCAAGGTTATATATCAAAGCCAGATTTATAAACTGACTTCAGAATGCAATCGCTAAGTGCACTTGTGTATCTTTCTGTCATAAAAAAAAAACAAAACAGCAGTACTAGCAGAAAGAGACTAAACCTGGTATGCAAAATTGAGATGCTCCTTAAGAAACAATCTCTCTAAGTATTGATTTGAGTGAAGAGAAGGGCAATGTACCAAATGTGAGTGATCAATATAGTGGCACTGAGGAAGAGAAAGACATAGAGAAGTACATGGGAGGTATAGACAACAAAGATGAACCCTTTTGCACATATAGTATGGCGTTGTTAGTGAAAGCAAACATGGGTATACGGGTAGATAGATGGGTGGACAGGCTGAACTATTAGGTATGTCTATGAAGCGGGTAGTGTACCCAAGAACACGTTTAGGGTTGGCAGACAATGGTCCTATAAGTTCACGTGTATGATCTGAATTCCCAGTTATATAGTAGAGCTGACAAGGGGCAAAGTTGTAGTCACTGCTTGGTCACAGCCAGCTACCCAGAGGGACCGAGAAGTTGAACCTGTGGGCTTGGGACCATAGTCGTAGGGGATATCAAGCTCAATTTGCATAACATACTACACAAAACATTGTTCCACCTCCTACTTTGGCGAGTAGTGACTGGGATCTTAAAAGTTTGCAAGCTGCCATCTAGATGCAATGATGAGTCTCTCCTCGTCCAGAGCAAAGAAGAATGAAGAAAACCAAAAATTCACGGAAACAATTAGTCCCAGCAACTGGTACACTATCCGATCTGCAGCCTATACGACTATGAGACCAGAAGAACTAGATGGTGCCCAGCTACTACTGTTGACCACTTGGAAGGGGATCTATGTAGGAGATCCTGGATAGAGAGGGAGAACAATGTGGAACAAAACTCAAAATCATTTGGA